GGGAAGAGCCTTGAGGGAGCAGCCGAGGTGTGTGTCGTGTGGGAGTCATTGATGGATCAAGACTGTCTTGTGTGTGACTGTTTCAGTGTAATGTGGCTCGGTGGTCTCTATGTCTGGAGCTAGCACTTGCGCTATCGGCAGAGCATCTGCCAGCCGTTAGTTCCGAGTACGAGGAAGCTATGGAAGTAATACTAGTATTATTTTCAGGATGGGGCAAAGACACTTCATGATGGCAAAGTGGTGTTAGGTGATTATGAATTATTTCCATTATTAGCTATCTAGCCAGATCCCTTAGTCTCGGGCCAGCAACGTCATTCCAAGTATCCTCCGCATCATCAGGGTCTATTACCCTGGCGTGCATCATCCATTCCCCCCTCAACACCGCAAAGGTGGAGGCATGCAACTGTTTGATCCTCTCAAGGTATCATTCCACCGTTATCCTGCACTACCCAAGAGCATGTATAAGCAACGCAAAAGCAAAGCGTGCGATAAAGCATGTATGAATGTGTGTTTGGTGGTGGTGGCGCGCACCGGCGCGGAGCTTTTGGAGCGTCCGCCCGCGGATGTCGTGGTGGGATCGGAGTGTTCGACCGCGCGGCCGCTAGGCCTCGTAGCCGTAGATGGTAGTGTGGGTATCGTATTATTCAATAGATCGTATTTCGTAAGGCGCAAAGAAAGTCTTCAAGTCAACATTCATCGGTAGTAGCCAGACGACCGGTGCTCGCGAAGGTCCCGTGTCGATGGCTCGCGGACCTCGACAGCGTAGTGCTTTGCAGCTCGGCGCTGCTTAGCCAGGTCCTCCTCGTAGAGGGAGCCGCGCTTGGAGCTGGGAGTGTTGCTGATCTCGGCAAGTGGTCGCTTTGGTCGGCTGGTGCTGTGCTGTGGCCAGTCGACGATCTCACCGTTGCGTGATCGTGATGATGACTTGGTCTTGGTCTTTGATTCTTGGTCAACCTTGACGGAGTGGCTTCGTCGGGGAGAAGCGGGTGCTGTGCGGGGAGCAACGTAGTAGCTGCGGTCCATGGAGACAAATGGCTTGCGGGATCGGTGACGGATGCTGCGCTCAATGGCCTTGAGGAGGCTGCAGACTTCAACGTAACCGGCTGGGATCTCTACGCGGACGAGCTTGTTGTCTTCCTCGACAGTTGAGTAGGTGGCCCCGTCCGACTTTTGGTAGATGTAGCGGGCCACTTGTTGGGCTAGGCCGTGGCCGACCTCGCAGAGTTGCTCGTGGTTGCGGTGGACTTCGTAGGGGTTGTGGCAGTAAGCACACTTCCTGGCGTGCATCTCGAAGTGGTAGGCGGCCCAGCTCTCAGCAGTGTTGACAGGACGGGAGAAAGAGTCGACGGGGTCCTCGTAGAAGCCGACCACACGCTCCTTCTTGGCCGTGGAAGGCCGTGAGTGAACGATGGTCGGTTGGTTTGTGCGTGCGGAAGGCATCTTGGGAGATGATGTGGGTGAGTTCTTCAGAATAGACTTTGGGGAAGCCGTTGTGACGTTGTTCCCAAGGTACGGAATGGTGCTGGTGAAGTCACTCCCAGTGTGGGAGGGTAACTTTGGTGTGGTAGTGTTGTTGGTGTTCTGTTTTTGCTGACGGTGGTAGATGGTAGACTGTTGGTCGTGTGAACAGCAGGTCGTAGTCGTTTCGAGTGAGTTGGTTTAGATAGAGGGTCCATGGTGGGCGCGGATGGCATGGAATATATGTCTCGATCCTCTACAGCGGCCGCATGCCCAGGGTGTGGGTGGAAGCCTGAGCTAGGCATGGGTTGCCTGTGACCGTCAGCAGGGGCTAGGTTAGCACCTCTTAGCCTCCAAGACTAGGGTAGCATGGCCTGCTAGCGAGGGCGGTGACTGCAATTGTTCCTCTCGATCCGTGCATGACGACGATGTCTTGGGAACCGCCGCTAGAGGCATGTTTCGTCAGTCAGAGGGCCGTCAACGGCCGCTGGTCGACGGCGCTGTCATTGGCGATGATGAGCTGTCGCTTCGCCAGAGAATGGGCCCAGGAGTGCCAGCAACCGCCGCATCGACTCGTGCCGCGCGTGTCAACGTGTCCAGTCGGGCAGAGAACACCTATGCTGTCTCTCCAACGACATTGCTCGCTCGCTGTGGATGCGGTCTGATTGTTCGATGCTGCGCCTCATGTCGCTGTCCGCGTTCGCATTACGGTGTTGAGGGGTGGGCGGGTGCCGTAGCTGCCTGTTTTCTCGAGGCATCAGCCACGGCAGCCACACCCAATGCGGGCAAGACTTGTTTCCTCCCCACCATCGCTCTGCTCATTTGCGCAGCACTCGCACAATCTCACCGCTACACAAGTTCGCGCATAGCCACAACCTTCCGCAGCCAATCCGTCAACTAATGTACGCCATAGAGTGGCTGTTGATGGCTGTTGAAGCCCATGTGCAAGTTTGCGTGTCGCTGCGAAATTGCACTGTGCGCCGCTGCCATGGTTCAGACCAGCGGCTGCAACTCACGACGAGACCCGCAACACCTCATCTAGGGCTGTGCTAAAGGGCATAGCTTCGTCTGCGCCCTTGAACGCACACCAGTCGAGGGCGCCGAATGTGCAAAATGTTTGCGTGTCGCTCAAAGACTCATCAGACACCCTGCTACTCGACGCTTGCCGAGCAACGTGCATGGCGCTATTCACCCATCGCTCGACTCGCCTGTCTCTTTCTGTCTGACCGGAGTTTGGCCCCTCGTCATTCGTCAATTGGGCTCTCTGGTGACTCTTTTTCACCATCGGCGCATTGGCACAGCAGTTCGCCCACTTTACCAACATGAACAGGCCCTATGTACCAATGTTTTCTCCGGTATACAGCAAATTGTTTCATCACGAGAAACACGTTGACAAGCACCCGAATAGTACGTTTCAGGTCCAGCTGTCACTCGATTCTGCCCACCGTGAGTCAATTGTGCCCAATTTGGGACATTCGTGGTGTTTCTTTTTGGCGCTGTCTTATGACTCCCACTTTGACACGACAGTCGGCACTCCCCGTATGTCGGAGCCAGGGCTTCAAAGTGCCATTCGCGCTCGTACGGGCTCCAGGCACGGCTGAGTGGCACATGATCAAGTTGATATCCTTGGCTGGAGCTTTTATGGGCTTCTAGCGTGATGCTGCTCATCATGACAGCCGCAAACACGGGTTCGGCACTGCACCGCCACAAACTCCCACTAGTTGCACGATAGAAAATTCCATCGTCATTCTGCCCCTCTCACGCACCCGTGCCCCCGTACTGAGACCCTCTTCCAAGTCTTGGATGCATGAAGATTGATGCACAAAGATCCGTTATCCAGAGTGAAGCTACGCTGTGGCGTCGTGGACAGGGTCTACTGCAGCCTAGGAATCTACGGCATCTTGGTTTATGGTAGTCGTGCTTCGGAGTGTACAACGTTCCGTTACTCCTCGCGAGCTGTCTCAGTTGCCTTACAGGAACCAATCTTCGACGTACATGGTGCCGATAGACCCTTTGGCAACGTAATCTCCATGGCCTGTTCATGATATCATTCGTTCCTCATGGTCTGCTGATTTGACATCAGGTCTACCGCGATCCGGATCGGACCATTGGCCTATCACCTTTGACAATGTCTAGGCAGCAAGTCCCCGCTCTGGCTGAGAACGACGCATCGAGCGATGGAAATCGGCGGGGCAGATTAGAACAATCTGGCACCTCAAGCTTGGGTCGATTGGTGCTCGTGTTGCTTACCCCATCTTCTTGGAGAAGAACTCTAGCATGTGACCTCTTCACGTTCTAAGTATTGCTATACCAATGAAATTAGCAATATACGCTACCACCTGCAAGACTGTTGACCATATCCGGTGCGGTTCAGCCAGTGCCGTTTACATTCGACCGTCTAGCCACTTCTATACTGACAGTGCGTCAGGGTCCAGACAAGTTTGTGGGGTCATGCGGAGCGAGTCGGTCACGTGCAAACCCTTTCATCCTCCGAAAACAACTGACATCCGCCTCTTCAGCATTGCGCTTACTAAAGTCGCCGGAGACGAACGACAGCAGCAATCCGCATTGCCTTCTTTCTTGGTTTGCATATTGAGTCCGGACTGAAGCTGATCTGTTGCCGTAGTAAGCGATAAAGCTGACCGAGTTGACCGGTTGCTGGACCCTTCATCAGCACAAACCTGTTCTTAACAAGATCGAACACCGCCAGGGGACAATCCTGTGTCAGCTTGGGCTATGCACCATCTGTCTGTTGCGCTTGCCTTTGGAAAAACGAAGTAGTGGCAAATGCATGTTTCGAAGTTCTCCACCTCCAGTGCGCCCAACGACGCCCCTACACTTGACGATATATAATCGCACTCGTGAAGCGGCGATAGTAGATGAGCAGCGAAGAAGCGGTACACGATCAGCTCACTGCTGACCTGTACATGCGAAGTCTCCACGAGGACCGTCAGCCGCTGACTACCCCACAATCTGGCGGTCTCGCCGTTTCCGTTTATCGGGAGGTGCATTGTGCTGCTTGCTTTTCAAACTCAATCGCGCTCCAGACGATCGGAGATTTGTTTTGCAGATCCTCCGACCATCACGAGAAATCGCACAACTTGAACTATGGGCAACGCCCGAAAGTTCTCATGTACCCCAACAACCACATAATGCATAGAAGATGCAAGAGAAGGTCGACTTCTCTAAGATGATACGGTGAATAGATACCCAAGGCTGAGACACATGACCGCGCGTTTCAGCGGAACGGTAAGCCTTAGCCTGTTCCTGGGCTAGTTTGCGATCTGTGCTTCCACACCTCACACCGCTTTTCAGCGAAACTTTCAGCGAAGCGACAGATTTTGCTTGAAATACCTGCAGTCCCTTCAATTCTCTTAATTCTTTCTTTTCTAAAGACTCTGCCTTGACCGGTTACAGAAAGGAAACGACGTCGCAAAACAGAAAGAGAAGAGGAAATGCCACCCCGAAGCGTGTGTTTGAATGTGTTTACGTCCAGTCTTGGCGATGGCAATGGAGCGGTGAACAATGGTCGACATTCCATAATGGACAGGAGAGACAGCGCGCAGAGTGGTATGTTCGGATTCTTCGAAGTTGCAATTGTACAACTCGAAATCGGTATTGCAATGCATTCTAACATGGCGATTAGACATTCCGAGACGGTCCTCTGACGGCTCTGTCGCATCGCAAGCCACGCCGCCAGCATCCACATCTCCGCTCCCGGCTTTCAATCGCCCCGAACTATTCCATTCTCTTCGTCCCATGGCCAGCACCGAAAGTTTGAACGGTTCTTTCACCAGCAAGCGTAAGTTTGAACTCCTATCTTCAGTTTCCATGTGGCGCGATGCAGGAACCGGACGTGATTCGCTACGCTGCATTAGTGCGCATGCGCCTCTCCACTTTATCCCACAATTATCGCGGCCGCTTTCACGGCCTGGCACTTTAGCACCACTACACTCATTTCAAACATCATGATGTCGACGTCTTACTAACATGCAACAGCTTGCACAACATGCTCTGGTGAACCCGCACGCCGCCGCTGCTCTCGCTGCAAGGCCGCGTACTACTGCGACCGCAACTGCCAAAAGTCGGACTGGAAGACCCACCGCAACGTCTGCGAACCCATCACGCAGACCTACTCCGCACCTGCTACACCCAACTTCTCCAACCCTGCCAGCCCAACCAATGAGTCTTGAAGATGCGACGCTGGACGTGTAGGCTATCGCATAGCTACACCGCCGCACTTGTAATCAGCAATGAAGTGGAGAACTAGACGGGGCGCCGAGGACGAATTGACGGAAGTGATATCAAGAGCAGGACTTGCTACGAACTAATGATACGGAATCAACTGGACATAGGGGAAAACTCGGGCGTTTGTGCTTTATTGGGCGTATGGGGTTTACCATTAGAAAGAGCAAAGCATTCAATTGCACTGCATAGCGAAACTAGCGAAATCATACTCATTATCAGCTTTTGTTTGGAGAAAGGACCTTCTACGCGTCTTTGCGAAATGTGAGGTTGTTGGAAAGTAATACGCGATGCTAGTTTCGGCAAGCGCGTTTGTGGACGGACTCACATATGTGGAGATACCTCCTTTAGGAATTGGCGCTTAGATCATAATAATGTAGTTCTGTGATATTGCCGCCGAAATGCGTCGCTGTTGCTGACTCATTACCATACATATACGCTCACCGCTCCTGTCTTCAAAGCTTTCAACCCAGACCTACGTGTCATATTCCTTCGCGCGCTGTCCGTTGGGAGCCCTTGCACCTAGGTACGGTAGTTGAGCATGTGCCTCTCAAGTTGCCATGTCGGCGCACAATGTATCAAACTTACACTTCCCTTTGCTGGAAGCATGGCTTGCGCCTTTCGTTGAGAGCACGTGAGTGTTTTCGCTATAAGATCGTGATCTCCTCATCGACAGACTCTTTGACCTCATTCTTGGGAGGTTTTTCGAAGAAACCAATTCTTCGCACTGTATTTGGGCCAGCCGGGACAAGAATGAGGCCAGCGTAAGTCGATATCACCGCGGAACCTCCGTCCGACTTGTAACGGTCGTAGCTTTTGGATAGGTATCCCCTCCAAGTGAAATGCTCAGATAGCGCCAGCAACACTGATCACATATATAAGTCGTTAGTACTGTTCAATAAGTGTATGAAGCCGCATGGAGAGCTTACGAACGTATTGGAGGAGATGAGAATGACGAGTATCATCCGTGCATATTTCAATCGGGACCTCTAAGACCTGAGTGGGCCCTGTACGTATGGTTGGTCCATGGAAATAGGATGCGTAGAACCTTCTCAATGGTGGTATTCTGCCATGACTTTTATCATAGGTGAATGTACCGTATCGATCTTCAGACCTTGAAATGAGGCCAACAAGTATCTTTCCGTAGAGTTTGGTCGCTCCTTGGGCCACTTCTCCGTAAGGAACATGTTCGTTCTTGGGCACGGACTCTACTGACACGAGAGTGCAGCAAGTTGTGTCAGTTGACCCAAAATCGACATCGCCATCTATGGAAGCCCATGACCATGACGGTGCTCTGTAAATGTCACTGCATCTGCCTCGTGTCCACTCTGATATTTTCCACGCCAACTGTTGGACGAAACCATGCTGCCAGATGCCTGCATGATATTCTCCGAGAGCCGAAGCGAACGTTTCAGCCAGAGCTGCGATAGCAGGCAGTTTGTCGGTTTGTTTGGACATAGCTCTTCGCGAATAATCTTTGACAATCGAAAGCCATTGCTCTAGGGCCTCTTCTTGACTCTCAGCAAGTTGGGAAACCAATATGGGCATCGGGTTATACTTCCGATCTATGCTCAACACCTGACCTAAGCTCATCACACCTGTTGCGCACCGCCATTCTAAAGTGGACGGGGTATACAAGAGCATTCGATTGGCCATCACCTGTTCTTGTAAAGCCCATGCTCGCTGGCTCAATGGGTTGTCCTGCCTAGCAGCAAATCCACTGAAATCACCGATCCGAGCAGTGGCACTTCCAAACTGATCCAGCGATATTCGAAATGGTATTTGAACACTTGGAGATCTATCAGTAGGGCATCTTTGGAGGAATCCATCGGCTACATCTGCTGCACTCGAAGCTAGAATGGTGACATAGGCCATGCTATATATTCTTGCCATGGATCCAATCTCACGGAGTTTGTCTTCCTGATCATCTTGCATGATGCACAGTGCGTCTACCTAAAAGCATAGGTTAGATCATCCTCAAAAGAAGAGCAGCAGGATTTCGCTTGGAATGACATCATCCACTTACCCATAGATATGGTATCGAAAGTGAACGTGTAACAATAATAGCGTCTTTGATGGTCTGAGGAAGATCGCTGAGTTCCAAGTGTTGAGTTAGTGTCTCGAAGTTATGTGACCGGAGTTGAGTTTGTGAACCAGTTCCCCAGCAATACGAGAGGGCCGCGAAGTTTCCAAAGGCTCCGTTCGTACAAAGTATTTTCGATGTTGCCACTTCAATGACACGCGTTGGAAGAGGTGAGTCAAGTTGCTCTGGGCAGCACTTATGAAGAGCACATTCCTTGATCCACCTCGAAATCTGGGTAGATGTGTTCGAGGGAGTCAAGTCCTTCTGCACTTCTCGGGCGGTGACCAAATGCGCTGCGAAGTTGTCGTCTTCAGCAAACAATTTAACGAAATTTCCATACCGACTATCATCGGAATCTGATTTGTACGTCATACTGTAGACATTGCTGCCGGATGGAGTAAAAGCATCCCCCACATCTGCACTCAACGTAATCGTATATCTCTTGATAGGTGGTGAACATGAGTGTACAACATAAGCTCGTAAGTATGAGCACCATCGGCATTCGCTGTCTGTCTTCGCTTGTAGGTCCTCCTTAACGATCTAAATTAGCCCTTGTGTTAGCGCACGTCTGTACAGTGTACCTGATGTTTTATAGACGCAGAGAAAAGGTACTGCGACAGGACACTGACATCATATTCCAATTTCACTTTTTCACGGCGACCCAATCTCTCAAAAATCTCGGTGTTAAAGACATTGGTCCAACAGAACTCGCAGACCATCGCTTGCACACGCTCGAGCGGCTCTGGTGCGCGCATCATCATGGCACTCATTATCGCAAGGCGGTCTGGTTCAGAAGCGATATTAGCAGTTTGTTGTGATCGGATATGTTGGGATGAGCAAGGTGGGGTGGGCTGATCAGGAAGGTTGAACCATTTTGAAGCCTGAGGTTGCGGGCGCGCCTGAGGAACCTTGTCAAGTTTGCGTGTGACAAGGTGGCATCAATTTATGTTGTACACATCAGGACAAGGAATCTGCACCCACGATCTCGCGAGCTTTGAACAAATGAAAATCTGGTTACTTGGTATGCATTAAAGATATACTACCAAGCTTTTACACGACCTGGCCATAAGGCGCAGTTCCGTCGAGTTTGAAGTATCCCGGCTGCAGCTTTTGGAATATACCCGCAGGGTCGTATTTTCTCGACACCTTGTTCAGCTTGGCTACATTTTCCAAGCCATATCCTGAGATGACTGGCTGGTAAGGGCTACTGTACGGCATGTACATATAGTCATTGTATGCACCAAGCTCTTTTGCCATAGCAACCGATGCACTTAGGAAATCTTGCGCCGCTTTCAAGACGACCTTGTCGTCCTTCTCGTCAGTCCATGAGAGGTAAAAGAGAGCATGAAATAGAGGACCATTTCCGGGATGGAGGCCAAGAGCATTGCCGCCCTTTTTCTGCATAGCCTTGAGGGCGGGCTTGCTGAACGCTTGGAACGAGACGCTGGGCGCACCAACGGGGATATTCGGTGCAATCTCGAAGAGATGGTCAGTCATGCGCTTCATTAAGTCTGTGTTCAGCTTGAAAGACTGAGACCACATAGTCGTCCGGAAGCCGTCTGGCATACTTTGGCTCAGCCCCGGTGTTGTATCAGCTAGACTGCAGTTGCGTGTGTTATCCGTGAGTGGAGGAAGCGAGAGGTACTCGTTCAGTATCGCGGGTGGGTTCGCTGGGTCGATCGGGTCAAAGTACTCATACTCGGTGGATGCGATCTTGACACCACGAGAGTATGCGACGGCAACGAAGTGCGCAAGTTTGGTGTCGGTCTCAGCAGCCTTCACTGCATTTCCAAATGCGTCGAACAGGGCGGGTGCGTAGGTCGCATTGTACTGGCGTTTGCTCGCAAACATAAGGCCTTGAGGCAGGGTCTCGTAGTTAAAGGTCGTAATGATGCCGAAGTTGTTGCCTCCGCCGCGAAGAGCCCAGTATAGGTCTGGAAAGGTCTTTTGGCTCACTGTGAGGATGACACCTGACGCGGTAACCAGTTCGAACGAGGTAATATTATCACACGCCAGGCCATACTCATTAGTATGGTGACTGATACCTCCGCCAAGTGTAAGACCACCTACTCCAACATATGCCGCCTATCCAGCATCAGTTGGGAACACGAAACATACGTAGGTCGATAGGTAACTTACTCGTCCGCCAACAATGGCAAGATTGTACGGTGTCAGGTAATCATAAACCTCCTTCCACCGGTTGCCAGGGCCGACAGCAACAAATGTCTTATCCGCAGAGAGCTTTTTCTGGTTCATATTGACCATATCGATAGTGATGCCACCCTCGATGCTAGAAGCACCAGGAAAGGCTGCATGACCTCCGCTCTTGATGGCAAAAGGGCATTGTGTAAGACGTGCAATCAGGACTAGGCTCGAGACTTCAAGAGCGGCAGTTGGCGTGAACGTGCAATAGGGCTCCACCTCGAGTTGCTGTATCGACCAGTACGTTGTCGGAGCATTGTCAAATGTTTTGTTAGCTCCAAAGACGAGCTTAAGAGAGTTGCACTTTCTGATGTTCAGCCAGCCGTGTACAAAACAAGGAGTGCGACCTTACGGCTATCAAACAGCCCTTGGATGAAGATCTCACCACAAGGCCAGCTAGCTCAGGTATGCCGGGTACATTGACGCCGTTGTTCATAAGGGCCTCCGTCACATTGAAGTCGGCCGGCTCGAAGACATCCTGGGTTGATGCTCTCGCAGCTACGGCAAGAGTGCTAAGGGATAACTTTCGGATAAATCTCATAGCAACAGAAGTCGACAACCGTCACGCCGCAGGATTTGGAGTGAAAATCGTGCGGTCCAAACGCGAAGAGGCAGGCCGCAACTGCAGAGGACAGTCCTTTTGTAGAAGCGATCAAACCTGTGGAGCTTTCACGCGAGCAGTGGAGTCAGCACTTGCAGGCCTAGAAACGCCATGGTGAGTTAACCGACTGTCGCTGCTGCGGTTTGAATGCAGATGTTGGTCGACCGGGCGTGCTTTCCTGCGTCTACTAAACCGTTCATAGCGCGTGTAAGTGAGATTATATGAGCTGTCCAATCGCGCGTTACTAGATTGTTACCTGCATGGATGACAAGGGCTGCAGGATGCAGACCGAGCTGCCGAAATGTGCAAGTGGCATAGATTTCTTTCCATGGATTGCATTCCTGGCTAAACATGTTGAACCCGATCGATATCGCAACAAGCGCGAAGAACGCGAGGAACGCAAGTTTGTCTGCATTTTGTCGCCACACGATTAGTTAACACAGAGGTACTGCAGAAATTGACACATCTTATGCCCTTTAAAGAGAGAGGTATGTTATGGATAGAGCCGATCGAGAAAGAGGAGATTCTGGTCGCGACCACTCTCTCCCACCGGCGCCGTCTTGGCTGCGGCGCTGTTTTGGCTGCGGCGCTGTTTGCGGGCGAACCCGCCCGCCGGTTCCTCTCTGATCTTCTCCTCCCCACCAGCACAAGTTTCTCATACATACGATATCCATTCCATGCCCTCGCATCGATGACCGGCATCCGAAGAAACGACTAGCAAGCACAGGCAGGTGCAAGGCTTGCCGTGTTATCCTGGGCAATAATCCCGGGGAGGCTTCGCGCTGATGAGCCTCTCGATCACCTCAACCCTGCAATTGCAGAACGCGTCCACTCAAGCGCGATGTGGCGCGGAACGAGAGGTCGAGCAGACGCGTCTATTCAACTGACTTTGATCAAACAAGCAAAGGGATGAAGTTATAGATCATAGCCTAGCATGCTGGCACGCCGCGATCTGCTGTACCGCTAACATGTTCAAATTACCTCGGTGTGGCCGCACGAACTATTCTACGCATTCATTTGCATGAGCGTCTTACCCTCGCTGGGATATGATGTGTTTAGGCGGTAAATCCACTAGAAAATCAGCAGAAGAGACGAATTGGGTGGACATACAATATGGAGATTGGTCAAAGACACTGACTCAATAGCGCCGAGGTAGTTGTGAATGCAATCACGACATCGGCAGCCAAGCCAGACCACTATCCGCTCTGAAGTTCAGTACTATCCCCATTATGCGACTCAATGATTAACAGAGAAGCTGAACAGAGCTATGAGTGTGCTCTCGTCGGAACTATGCTCTCATCCCTCATCCTATCTCCTCCATATACCTTCACCGAAATGTGCAGGATCCCTCAACATGTGTTCCAGCGCTATCCCTCCTCCATGGCTGCGTCGCACCTTCACACTTGCTACATCTCAGATTCACATCCAGACAATCGACAAACTCATGCGACTCAGTTCCACATCTCCAACAATATACTCCCACCCCAATTGGTGGCGCCGGCGTCGGCCAATTCATCAAACCCTGCACCACAGACTCTGCCGACTTGCAACTCGACTGCCCTGTCTGTCCTGGCTTCGCAACCTTGTTTACCGGGCACGAGTATACTTCGAAACGAACGGCTGAGAGGGTGGCGATAATGGTAGCGTACATGGCAGCATTGCCATTATTCCGGGGGTGGTGGACAGGGATCTTGAACTGCTGGAGGAGGTATGTGAACGATGCGTCTGCGTGGCGCGTGATCTTTGCTTGCTGAGGGATAACTTGCGCGTCTAAAATTGCTATCGTAGTGACTATACTGGAAGGATCGAAGTCAAAAGCTGTCTTTCGCATCTTGCTTATGCTGTCATTGGCACCGAAGGACATGTACACGATCGGTCGGAAGCCGGATTCTGCTTTCTTCTCATCCATGGGTTGATGCCAGATGTGTTGGAGGAGTTGAAGAGCTTCTTCGTGGGAGACATAAACTGTTGTGCCAAAGTGGAAAGGGTCTAGACCGGTGGGTGTAGAGTCGAGGTGCGCAGTGGATCGGACGACGAGGTGAAGAGACCATACTTGGCGGAGTAGGTCTTCGTCATGTGGGCCAGCTATGGGTTGCCCCTGGTTGGTGCTGGCTCTATCGTAGGTAGTGATTCCAAGCTCAGTGAGGCGGTGCGGCGGGGTTGCGGACCATTTTCGGTGGAGGGTAACCAGAACGGCGTCTCGAAGGAGGCCGGTATTGGACCTTTGAAGGTATTTTTGAAGGACATCTCGGTCTGAGCTTTTGGAAAGGACGTTACGCAGTGATTCCAGCTTTCCTGGCGTGGATACGGACATGATTCCCAGCTGCTTGATAGAGATGGACAGGAGCAGAAAAATGACAAAATAGTTGTGAGACTAGACCTAGGCCAGCTAGAGCGGAGCCTAACAAGAGACTTACGATTGTAGCAGTGAAGGCGAAAGTGAAAGTAAACTTAACTTACATCTCTCAGTTCCATCTCCTGCCGCTTATCATGGTATTGGTTTTGCGATGCTTCCAATGTAAGCAATGGCCTCCCATATCTGTATCAGGCTCAGATTTTAAGTCTGTTCTGCAGTTGGAAGCGACAGCACACATCGAGGCTGTGATATACATGTCTAGCATGATGTATCTGTATATTCCTAAGTCTGTGAGTTTCGACGACTTTGAAAAACTCGTTCAATCAAGCGGCCACCATTAGCTTTTGAGATATCAATGGCTGAGACTTGGTTAGAGAACCAGGGTCCTTTGTCCAATAGAAATCTCGTTCGTCTGCTATCCTCATGCAGAGGAAGGGCGAGCTCGGTTGCATGCTAGCGCAGTCGCTAAACGTACATAGTCTTAGGCCTCCCTAGATGCACCAGGTGGCCTTATCACCCCACCACTCTCGTCATTGCTTCAATGACATACCGTATCTACCTCAAAGCCGCAAAGGTTCAAAGAGAGTCAAGATCGCGTCGTCTCGGGTGCCTGGGTGTCAAAGCGACGCCAACAAAGTATTGGTAAGCTATCATCGGATAGAGGCAGTGTCTACACCCTGATTGGTACTGAACTACCTAGGTAGCCTCACTACAATGGCAAAAAATCCTCTCCGCGCGTTGAAGAAGCTTCTTCGTACTAAGATGCTACGGCCCAAACGCCGAACCCTAATTGACCTTCCGGTCGAGCTGATCGAGTTGATCGGAATGAAGCTCCTCGATCATCCGACTTATGAGCGACTAGCCATACCACAATCGACGCCGGAAGGGCGGCAGGCAATTTACCACACTCGGTCATCATGTCGATCTCTTTATAACGCCTTCATCAACATCTTCATAGGGATCGTCCAAGACATGCCATATCGTTGCACAGAAGAGGGTTTCCGCCCTTTGATCCGGCTGTTACAAGTTCCCGATGTGTCAAAGAATATCAGACAACTCACTATTGGCGGAGCGCATATACTCAATCTCGAAGAGGAACAGAAACAGGCGGTCTGGATAGCACAAGATTTGACGCATACTCTTAGGACGCTACTGGACCTTGTACCTCACTTGGCGAGTATCAGGTGTGTCCCAATGAATACTTACATACTCGAGAAAAGGGACGTCGAGGAAGGTGGCATCGTACTTGACAACGATGTGGAAAATAATTTTCATACCTCAATGGAGATCTTGACAGTATGTTCAACTATTACAATAGGTGGTCTGGAAAGATACTGATGAGTGGATATAGCGCATTCAGAACGCAATAAGGATACCTGTTCACGCAGCTGCCCTTACTTCTTTCACGTTAAGATGTAACTACGGCCACAACGTTGATTTGGAAGAAGCAATGTCTGGTACCAAATGTAGCCGTGTAACTATCTTGCCTCTCTTTGAAAGCCCCCACTATGGTCTCCATCACCTTACAGTCGATTTGGAATGTCTCCAGACATTCGGCGTCAACGCGAATGGTCAGATATCACTTTCCTGCCTCGAAACCTTGACAATCATCTTGACACGGTCCGAGATTGACAATGAAGAAATGGTGGGATTAGATATCCTGGCGAGTACGCAACCTCAACAACTCATACTCACTGGTCGTGGAGGCATCTCTTTGAGTCAACTTTATTCCCTCATCTCCCCCTTCACTACCCGGCATCGCCCACCATCCCACCTAGTCTTACGCGAGACGGCCATAAGACTGGAACATCGTCACCATGACCCCAATCCGCCCCGTCCGATCGGGTTTTGGCATACCTTCCGGATCAGTATCTTGGAGATCCAAGACGTAACATGGAATCGATACTCCAGCACATCTTCTAGGCGAAAGAGCCAGGGATGGTGCGAGACAGGTTGGGACCTGTTCCCTTATCTTTGCGAACTATCGGACGCTGTGCGTGTACGTATATCGCTGGGCGGATCCAAGAAGGAATTTCTCCAGAGATCTGACGGGGCTCTGAGAATTGAGGGTTGTAGCGATTCCGACGAGGGGGCCGACGAGGATGAAGGCACAGGGGTCGATCAGGTTGTTGGGTATAACAGCAACACATAGTTATTGGCGTGGGTTCAACACGAAGTGGAGTCGTACAATCTGAATGTCGCTCCAAAATTCAAAATGGCTCTTTCAGCCACCTCCAGGTTTCTTCTTCAGCGCTCCTCCGAGAATACTTGGATCAAGCATCTTGGCTTCCGGCACGTCAACACCGCATCGCACCCACATGCTGCTCCAAAGAGCACCGACGGCTCTCTCCTCGGGCATGAAAACGACTGTGTTCACGTATGATCGTGTTGTGTTGTAACAATCTGGCATGTTGAACAGTTGCGCTTCACAGTTGTCGCCCTTGTTCGAATAGAATACGCCGCATCGCGCTTCGCTTGGAAGAGTGATGCAAGTACCGTTCTTCCATTTCTCGAGGGGTGGCGGAAAATATGTCTTCTGTAGGAGTTCGCCGCGACAGTGCTTAGGGCCGCCTGCACCCGCGTATGTGAGGGCAAGGATCGGTATTTGAGGAGTGGTCGGTGGTCGAGGCGCCGGCGCGGCGGATGGTGTAGGCGTAGCTATGGGTCCCAAGACGCCTTCAGCGCTCCAACTGGCACTCGTTTGCGGTTCCGGGGTGAAGCCGATCAATCCCTCCTGGGTTTCGGTCATTGTTGTGGGTACTAGCGTCGCTCCGGATACGATGGTACTGCCATTGTACACATCACCGCGATCGAAATCTGTGCCGTTCAACAGCGCTTTTGCCGCCACAACATCATCTCCGTCTCCAACTCTTGCAGCTTGCGCGAAATTGACCTGTATGATTTGTGGCGTTGGTCCGCGTACTTCGATGGCGGTCGCTAGCGAGATTGCGATGAAGAGGAGGAGTGATACAGACGACGCGACGAGAACCATACGTCGCGATATGGATGACATTGCGATAGCATTGGATTAGATTCGAAAGATTGAGGAGTTTGGGGAAAGACGCGACAAAGTTGAGGTGCGCAGACAACGCCAAGACGTCATCGGGGGCTCCTGCACTACGCGTTTCATCCCCACGTCCTCCCCAAACACCGTCGCAAAATAGCTATTAGCACATGTCTGACGGCCTGCTAGATGAAAGAAAAGCAGAATGTGGTTGTTATGTATCGTCTTCTGGAATCCTGCATGACCCAAGCTTCCTCATCCGACAACATTGCCGAAAACGATCTCATATCCATCCCCATTGTCGCTGCCTTCCTCAATCCCAACCTTCTTTTCATCTGCTTGCGCACCAGAGACATCCCCTACGAAAGCTTTGGCGATTTTGCTATCAATTGACTTGTTGGGAGTAACTTGGTACGATCATAAGTGATCTCTTCATACCGCCATGAAGATCTGTCTATGTTCCACCAGGAAACAAACACCTTGCAGTTCTTTTTCACAAGTTCTTGGATATGTGGGAGCAGAACAGCCTTGTATCTCTTCATGGCAGACAAAGTTCGTGCCTCGACGGAGAGGGTAATCGCGAGCCGTGATGCATGCTTCGTGGCCGCGAGATCGCTAAGCCAACTGACTTGTTTCTCGTAGTCATCCTTCATTGCTTTGCTCTCAGCCTGTTTATGCAGGACAACCGCTTGTTGATAGTTGTTGGAGGTAAAGTATGGTTCCATAGAGACACACACCGACAGCGTTCGGAGGTGGTCGAGAGGTCGACAGGATGGATGAATCATCAAAGGGCCGCTGTAAAGTAGAGGAACAACATCATCGATATGACGAACGTTGTAACAGGCATGTCGGTTGAAGACTTGTGCGATCTCCATAGCAAACTCATTCCCCATGTAACCTCCGATGAAGTAGTGTTGAAGCTCATTGTCAAGCCCGCGGGCCTGGCCACGACGGCCACCGAGTTCCACATGGAAGAAATACTCTCCACGACTGTTCGCCGGCAAGATTTTGTAACGTGGTAGAATGTGGGCCGTTGAAACACCGCCGATAAGGTGACAGTAAACCATGTCTCGCAGCTCGCAAGCCAGAATCTCGAAGATCTTCGCAGCGAACTTACTGTTCCACATGCGCGAGTAGTCATTGTATGCCTTCTCGAAGGCGCTGAAGGGAGATGTCGTATTAGTGACCAGATTCCTGTATTGGGAAGGCCCAGACCTACTTGTATAAGTTCCGCTTCTTGCGCTGTAGTGTGCTTCGTCTGGATTCAAGTTCTTTAATCTCGATGTCGACAGTGCTTTCCCCTCGATGGCCGAATGAGCTTCTAATCAAGAAGACTATAGCTTTGACTTACATATCACAATTATCCTGGATCTGTTGCTTGAGCCTACTGGATTGTCAGACATTGGAACACAGCTTGTACGTACTCTTGACGTCTTACAGTGCCATTGCTTGAATTTTGGCTGTGAGTTGATTCTTAGGAGCCATTTTCGTGCCCATTGCGTTGTTTAGATATCGGTATAATGCGTTGAAGAGCGAAAGAAATTTGAATCTTTGATCTGGAAGATGAAGTTGATCGCATTATGTAGTGCACTTACACTCAAAAGGCAAATTGAGAGAGCCGCAAGCTAGGCACGCTCACGTGTACTAAGATCTAGTCAAACCCCAAGCTTGGCAGTCATGACTTTCTCCGTGAAAGGCACGGGATCATAATGAATAGAACTTTTATGAAATCGTTTATGCCATGAAAACGTAATAGATGTCAAGAAGAACACAGCGACTATGAGAAATCCTGGAAAGCTGCGAAAGCAAAACCGATTGAACGGATAAGGTATATGCTGGTCAAGACTCATCTTTACCTCTTCAAGCATCTCCAACCTCAGCCTTCTCTTTAGCTTTGTCTTGCGGCACCTTGACAACGATCTTACCCCTCGCCCTCCCCGTCTTCAGCTTCTCAAAGGCTTTCGGCGCATCTTCCCAATCAAATACTGTATCAACAATGCCCTTCAGCTTACCCTCCTTCATCCACTCTCCAAGCTGCCTCAGCGCATCCGCCGACGGCTTCGCCATCAGCATCTGATAGCTATGCTTTCCACCACCCAGAAAACCTGGTAGCAGCATATTCGAACCCACTGTCTTCATGCTATCCATGCTCAACGTTGATCCGATCTGGATGAACTTTCCTGCTGGCATAAGATAGGAAGATGCAGCTTTGTAGAGGTTAGATGGCGTGCCGATGTTATCGACTACAAGGCTAAAAACCTGACCCTTAGAAGAAAGAGTATCAATGACATCAGAGGTTTTGTAATCGATGACTTCGTCTGCGCCCAGGCTTTTGCAGAGGTCGACGTTGGGTGTTGAGCACGTCGTGGTAACGTGGCAACCAAGCGCTTTTGCGATCTGGATGCCATATACACCCGTGCCGCCCGAGCCGCCGTTGATGAAGACTTTGTCGCCGCTCTTTACGTTTGGTGCGATGGCTTGATATCTGAGAATAATGTTAGTAGATCCTCCGGCTTCATTCACAACTCGCCCGGCCTTACTCAGTCAACCCCACGATCCCCACACCAGCTGCATCCTCGACCTTCACGCCCTCTGGTAATGTCGCCAACATATTTCTCTCCACAGCCACATATTGCGCCAAACTCCCTCCCGTCAGCGCACCGACTTTTGCGCCAAACACAAACTCGCCGATTTGGAATTCGTCGACCTTCTTTCCAACTTTGGCGACTTTGCCGCAAAAGTCCGCACCCGGGGTGATGTCGGAGCCTACAAGTCGCAGTGGCATTGGACCTTCGGTCACCTTATGGTCGACGGGATTGATCGCCATGGCGTGAACTTGAACGAGAACCTGTTCATCGTGAAGCGTAGGTTGAGGTGCGGCGTCGTTGATCTGCAGGTTCTTCTCGATTCCGCCTTTTGTGCTATTATACTGCCAGGCCTTCATTGTGGATGCCATTTTGTCGCTCGAACTGAATGTGATTGCTTGCGACGGTTTTCTGGTTGATACGATGAATTCAGCAGGGAGTGCGGTCCTTCTTATCTCGTAGCGTGGAAGTAGGTATGCGTCATGACGATTCGCTTTGAGCGGGGCATGCGCCACCGCCGTCTGTCAACACGATCTTGGGAGCCTTCTCGTCCATCGAAGGTTCATGCAAGCGACTCGCGTTATGGCGCAAGCTGAACTCGCGTGGGGAGGTCTTCACAATGTTAAAGCGGTTTAGGTAGGCAAGGCTGCTCGCCCAGCGGGCCGTCTTACTTGCGCCGCCTGATCGATGGGGCGAACCCACGTTGCCGTCTAACGCGATCAGGCGTATTCTGCGCAACGACCGCCAGGGGCTAACATGACAGTACAAAGCCACCTACTCGCGAGGCAAAGTAGTCTCCCCACGCCCAGTTCACTCAGCAGCTGCAAATGCTTAGCAGCCCGCGTCGGCGCCAGCCTATCCTCATGTTGTACTTAGTGTTGCACCAACTATAAATGTCGTGGGCGAGGAGACGGATCCTCCAGAAGTTTATTGTAACGATAACAACAGAAGAAGCATAGTGCATTGTAGAATGGATGAGTTGTTTATTTATACGCAAATATTCCTCCATCAGTTGGTCCTGAACGTCCTCACACACGCCCAGCCACCCTGTGTCGAGCCTCTTACGCGTATGTAATGAACATCTGTTCGAAGCCAGTGACATTCCACGTCCCAGTGAGGGTATTAAGCGTCAAATTTGTGGGGGTGGTGGCTCCGCGTTGAAGCGCGCCACTCTCAACGTGACCGCCAGTAGCGACGACAGTTCCGTTGGTTCTTTCCCTAGATGTGGGTATGCAATATCAGTAAACGTCTCACATGCATTTCGTACGTGAACACTCACAGGTGATTGGCACCAGCTTTGACCGTGAAGTTTGCAAGGCTAATGTCGAAAGAATTTCGAGATGCCACAGATGGAGAGCCTGTATTGGGTCAGCATACAAAATGATTCATTCAATAAACATACGATGCAGCAACCTACCATAATACTGTGCGTTGAGCTCCTCAGGTGAGATGAATAACTCGTAGTATCCTCTGTAGTAACCCTCGGACCATTGAAGCTCGCGATTGTCGCGTACGAGGGCTGCAGAACGATCGCTCGAATTTGCAATAGATCTACCAGCGCCATAACCACTGGAGGAGACGGCGGTGCCGGCAAATTCGACACCGATAGCGCCAGCACCCGTAGATTGGTCGTATGGAGTCTCGTCAAGCCAAACAAGATCAGACACCCAGTTAGCATGAGAATCTCCAGCCAAGAAGGCGGTGTTCGGAATCTCGTTGCTGTAAAGATGATGAAGAGTACGGTTGCGGTTCGCAGTGTACCCATCCCACTGGTCAGCGTTCAGCTCTTCGTCGTACACAGCGCTATTGTTCATCCGAGAGAAGATGATTTGGTTTCCGATGATTCTCCAAGTAGCCCCTCGCTCATGCGATTTGGAAAGCTGGTTGTAGAACCAGTTTTCCTGGAGGCTGCCCATTAGCGAGCGGCCAGCATCATCTTTGAGGTCTGCAACGTAGTCGTCGTTCCAATTAAGAGTCGTGATGGATCGGTCGTAGTTGCGTGTGTCGAGCATGATCAGGTCAAAAAGTTTACCCATCTTAAAACTACGCCAGATGCGCAGGTTGTCGTCCATGTCAACCTGGCGAATACTGTGTCGATCATTAGTGGGATCGAGAGCGGGAACAACAAGGTACGCACGGCATCCACTCGAAGTATGCTCTGACGGCATTCATCTTTCTTGAGTCAACACTCACGCCTCCGAACTTTCGGAAGCTCTGCTCGGTGTTGTTCATGTTGCTGAAACCATCGCGATATCCATTGTTTGCGACCTCTGTCAATGCATTAGTCGATTGTAGGTCATCAATCATTTCCACGAACCATGATCGTCCCAAGTTGGAATCCATGCAAAGTTTTGGTGTGCAAGAAGCAGGTCGTCATCGGTACGGTACTGGCCGATTCTTGTTCGGTAGTCTACGAAACGGATTAGTAACGACCACTTTCAAAGATTGGTTTCACACGAACCATATAGTGTGACAATCTCTCTTGATGGGTTCGTTGCTCGCGGATCCTGACCAAGTTTGCCTTTGGTGGACTCGTAGATGTAGTCACCGAGATGAACCTATATATCTCGATCAGCAGAGCCGATAACGCTTTTATCGATTATACTTACGAAGTAATCTACCTGGTCTTTCCTGGCCGCGTTCCCGTACGCATTGAAGTATCCGTTCTGCCAGTTAGAGCAAGAGAAGATAGCAAGGCCGATCTTGGAAACATCGTCGTCTTCGTGAGGACTAGTCTTGGTCCCTGAATATGGGCGAATAAAGTTAGCATAGGTCTCACACACAGTTCAAACAAGGAAACTTACTGCCGAGCGGACTTTTGTTGGAGCTGCCGCAAACATTGAACTGGTAGTAGTACTGCGTGAATGGAGCAAGGTTCTTCGCTTCAATCTTTTTCAATGTCAGCTCGTCACTCAATACGATCATTACAGAAAGCTAACCTTGACAGTGAAGTCGATGTCGGAAGTGGTGTATGCCTGGCCTTGATCCGCGATGCTTGAGAAATTGCTATCCGTACCAACGCGGTAGTCCACGCAAATAGGGTTTGGCGAGGCCTTGATGTACTTCTCCGTCTCATGGTTGTAGAACGCTACATTACCCGTGACTGTTACGTTCGACCGATCGTTCTCAACTGATGGTGCAATGCGTGTCCAGAGAATGACCGAGTCCGGATAGGGATCTCCAGAAGCGACGCCGTGCGTGAAGCTCAGCTGGGCAGGATCCCAAGGAGTTGCCCGTTTCACAAGGCTCCTCTTTGCGACCTTAGGCACATCTATACCAAGACCCTCATGCCGGCGAGAAGGCGAGTGGTAGTTCAAGTTGCCGTCAAAGGATGCACACACGAGCGAGGCTAGAGGCGCTGCTGCAAGAAGAATTGAAAGCATCGCAAAGGCTGAAGAAGCTTCAGTAGTTCTCTTACGTTCATCCAAAGTCTCAAGACCGGAAAGCTTAAATACTTCTATACATACTTCGACATGCCGTCCTCCATGCACGACTCTACCCTCTTTGCATCAAGCAGGCCGCCAACATTATCGCATCGCGTATTCAGCACGGCACTGACAGTAGCTTTGGCCAATCGCAGGAGGTGCATTGCAAGTGTGGAAAAACGTGCCTGTTGATCGTCAACGGCGACATATGCAAGATGCGCATGTGCGAAGAGGTAGAGATGAGATTGGCCGAGCGCTACTGCATCCCGTCTGTCAGTCTAGCCGATTGTGGGGGTACGCAGTTCGTCTGAACCTCGTCGATGCCGGTGCAAGAAACATAGCGTGAGGAGTCGACCCAACTATGTAGAACCGAGATGGCTAGTTCAGTTCGATTACAGGAGAGACAGTGCTTGACTTCGAAGGCTTCCAGCTCCTGACCTCTCAGATGGCCGCGGACCTTGACAGCGCTAACATATTAGTGCCGTCCGCACCACCCATCATCCGCCCCTTCAACATCCACTGCTCCCTAGCTCGCAGCGGGATTGAGGTCGTTCTCTATGTTCTCTCAAACTCTATCTGCTGTGTATATGGCTCACAGTACATACACACCTTTGCATCAAAATTTGTATCATACGCTGGGGTGATACGGTCTTTCCACACATCCGACCAATCATTTTATCGTTAGCACTTCATCCAATGCAACCGTTCTCATCACATCCACGTTCCGGCGCTCGGACTCTCATTCGCTCTCTTTACATCGTGGTGCATCTAGCGTCGTTTTGTTCAAAGATACATTATCAAAGCAAACAACGAGCCAAATGCTGACAGCAAGGCCTACAATGCGACTTATCTTTACTAGTTTTAATTTTCTTCACTAGGAGCTCTTGTAGGCTGCAAGATCAGGCATATTATTCCTATATTCATTCAGTTTTTCCCTTGTATGCGGCAGGAAGATTACGTGCCCGCGGCTATCACTATGGTCGCGCGAACAATCTACTCAACCTTGTACACAAGCTTTACGCCTGATACCTTGTTATCCTTCAAATCTTGCAAGCCCTGTGGAACGCCGGCCAGCCCATTCCTGACCTCAGCCGGGTGAGTCTTGATCTTGCCACTGTTGAGCCACTCCTCGGCCTGCTTCCAGAACTTGGCACCAAACTCATAATCTTCCTGGCTGGCGCCGACGTTCTCATTGAACTTTTCACCGAGCGCGGTGTAGGCAAAGGTGAATTTGGTCTTGACGTCACTTCTCGGGTAGTTCTTGACTGGCAGAAGAGCAGACATGTGACCACCACTGGAGCTGATGGCAGCAGCGGTTATATCAAACGAGTTTCCTTCAGCAATGCAATCGAAAGCCAGCTTCAGCTTGTCGTTGGTAGCTTTGCGGATCTGGGCACCAACATCGGCATCTTTGTAGTTGAAGACCTGGTCGGCGCCGAGCTTGCGGAGCATGTCGAAGTTGTGCGGTGAGGATGTCGTGATAACCTCGCAGCCTGACGCCTTCGCGTACTGAATGGCGAGTGTTCCTGTCGCGGTAGAGCCGCCGTAGATGAGAACTGTGGTTGGTTCTTGCACCTTGGCGGGCGGCAGTGGTAGACCAAGCTCCTGGTACAAACCTTGAGCTACGGTTGTGATTCCTACACCCAAAGTAGATGCATCCTCGAAGGACATGTTGTCAGGAATCTTGAGGTTGATTCCAGTCTTTGCCTTGATGTGTTCGGCGAAAGCGCCGTTGGAATGATCAGCAGGGTCACCTGAGATACGTCAATAACCACCTTCCGGAATCAACAATAGTATCCTTACCTCCGCGAACAAATCCAGCAATTCGGTCTCCAACCTTGTAGTCGGTAACAGCCTTGCCGACCTCCTCGACTACACCAGCATAGTCACACCCAGCAAGAGCGCCTGGCGCTGTCGACCACTCAATGCTCTTCCAGTCAGTTGGGTTCAGGGCCACGGCCTTGGTTTTGACAAGAAGCCAGTTGTCGGCAGGAAGCTTGGGCAGAGGGACGTCACTGCGAAGCTCAGAAACGCCTTTGGAGGCTCAAACGACTGCTTTTTGTGTAGACATGTTTCGTGAGGAGGAAATAAGTGGAAGTATGGTGTGTGGTTTTGTTCCTGACAGTAGGGGTATGGGGAACTTTGATGGCCTAAGGAGTCGATTGATATACATTCTGCTATGATGCAAGGCCTTGTAGTGGATTTGTAATGGGACCACTCTTAAGATCTACCGGGCGGGGCGGAGCATGTTCGGCGAAAGCTAGGAAGAGGGAGCATGCTTCGTACTCGGGGTGATAAGTAATTCGTGATCACTTATACTATGTTCGGAGCACTGTTGCAAGTGTAGTGTACTATGCCTACAGCGAGAAGACCGTTGTAGTCTTTGCTTACTGCAGATGTAATGCGGATGAAATGGTCCAAGCTCAGGCTTCGCGCTACGTAGGTAAGCTTTGGCGCAAGGGTCCAGCAGCGCGACGCATTCGACGCGTAGCTCTTCTGCTTCGACTCCACAGGCACGACCCCTCCAAGGCTTATTGGGCACGCAGTCTGTCATTGCCGTCATGGACGACCTTCAACGGCCCCCAACGCCTGAGGATGAGGACATCAAGCTCAACTTCTTCCCCGATCCCCCGCCATTCTACAAGTACTTCACCACCGAGAACCTCGCCCGACTCAAAGACATTGAGAAGGAAGCCGCGCCGGAAAATGACGACACGAATTCCTCCACCTCCAAAGCTGCGACGAAGCTCTCTGCAGAACAAATTCTCGCCTTGCCGACCGAGCTCCGCTACCTCATACCACCCGAGCCACCTGCAGACGATGCCGAGTTCCATGTATTCGGCGCAGTAGAAAGTGCCAAAGGCGCAAACAACTTGATGAAGAACATGGACTATATAGCCGACCAACTGAGGTTTCAAGATGTCTTTCACGACTGGACGTACGAGCAACTGTACCCTTCCCCCTCCACCGAACCCTCCGCCGACGACCCTTCCGCGCAACAGCCTACCACGAGCAACTCTGCGTCTCTCGACCGCCAAAACTACTTGTTCCGCTTCTTACGGAGCATACTGTTGAGCTACATCTCTCTCCTGGGTATCGTGGCTGCGAATCCGACCTCAGAGCAAAAGGAGCAGAAGCTCAAGGACATCATGACATTGGTAGCCAACATGCATGCGCTGATAAATGAGTACCGGCCGCATCAGGCAAGGCAGACGCTTATTGCCAAGATGGAGGAACAGGTGCGCAAGAAGAGGGAGGAGATTGAGAGCGTAAAGCGGATAGGAGAGAAGGTCAAGGAGGTACTTGCTGGATTTGGTGGGGTGGACGGTGAAGACAAATCCAGCAATGGAGGTGAAGAAACCCTAGAAGACGGGACAAGGGCGAGGGAGGAGGACAGGCAGCGTGTGCAGAGGGGGATGTGGGACGCTATCAACGAGGTCGTAGGATAAGAAGCACGCGACCAGGCTCCTACAAGGTCGGACAGCATCGTGACGACAATTAAGCTATTTCGATTTCAGCTCTAAAAGTGGGCGCATTGTCGACAATGAAGCTCGAAGCATCCGGTGCTTTCGAATACCACGTACAGCAGAAGGCTTGCAATCTTGCAAACAACACATACATTCTAGAGTCGAAGGCCCAGACAGTTTATTGTAGGCAACTGCGCTTGGCGAACGTCGGCACCAAGCAGCCGCACGACATCTAGAGTCTCGGCGTGGGCACCATTGATCCAGGAACATGACGTCATGCGGCCTTTCTACTTACCAGAAATCTACCTGCTCGATACTTTGGTTCTTATCAGCCACACCCAAAGCCACAATCCTTGTTCTATTAGCTGTTCCTCCATAGTTCGTATCGTTATTTCGGAAATTCCCGTTGGCGCGCTCCAGCTTGTAGTGCTTGTGACACGAACGTAAGCTTCAAGGGTTGGCACGCGCTCAGCCCCGGTGCGCAGACATCCCAGACTTGATAAAGAAGGCAACCACGGCTGAATATTTGGGTTCAGCTCCTGACCGACTGTTCTCAGGCTGCGAACGCCGAGAAACAAGCAAGTGCGCGGCTGAAGAGGACCTCTACTTTGTAGATAAAATCGCATATATCTACATCTTCGACGCGTTTTATAGCCAGGTCATCTGCGAGACTGCGAGACTTCAAGTTCCCGAGACTCTTCAAATTTGATCACGTCGTCACCATGCCATCCACAACCTCGACAAGGCCAACGAAACGCCTAGCCATCTTCTGCGACGGAACGTGGGTCGGCCGCGAAACCGAAGTCGAAGATGCACCACCAAGCAACATCCGACAACTCGCAAATATGGTCGGTGAAGTGAAATATGTCACCGACGACAAAACAGCCGCAAAGGTTCATCCCATCATACCTCACAATACAACACCTAAAAATTCTCCCTCGGACATCATCGCCGGTTACCAAGAAGGCGTCGGCCTGAACAAGACCTTTTTACAGTACATCTGGGACGGCGCAACTGCCTCCACCATCGGCGAAGAGTGCATAGCCGCCTACCGCTTCATAGTGGAAAACTACACTCCGGATCACGAAATCTGGCTCTTCGGCTTCAGCCGCGGCGCCTTTACCGTCCGCTGTGTGGCCGGCATGATCAACAACTGTGGCATCATAAAACGGCTTCCGGAATACACAGACATTGACGTTCAAAGGCTCTGTCACGAGGTCTTCAGAACATACCGGAGTAACCTCCCCATCGACGCACCCAAGAGCGAAGAATGCCAGCGGTGGAAAGGACTCGATGATAAAGTCTGGCAAGTAAAACGGCCCATTCGATTCATGGGTATCATTGACACCGTTGGTGCGCTGGGTATTCCGAGACTCAACGCGGGAATTGGGTTTGATTGGAGCCCATTTGAATTTTTCGACCAGACTGTCGGTAGCGTCGTGCAGCATGTCTACCATGCGCCTTGTTTGCACGATCGACTGTGGATCTTCCAGCCTTGTCTGGTCTATCCTAGTGAAAAGGGTGGCGAGGGCGAGGAAAAGGTTGTGGTGAAGCAGAAATGGTTTCCAGGAACCCATTATGATGTCGGTCGTATGACTTTCCGCTTTGCACGCCAGAGCCCTGCAAATTGGATTGAAGATGCGTTAGGCTGGGCTACAGACCTGCTTTCACGGACGATTTATCCGAATGAGGTGCTTAGCGATGCGGTATTGAGGTGGCTGGTTCAGGGAGTACAGGAGGCTGACGAGGATTCTGCGAATCCGTTGATGCCAAACACTGATCAACACGTCGAGAGCCTCAGTAGCAGACTCGGAGAATCTGCTGTGGCATCCTCAACGGCATCAGCTCCAGCCGCTCGAACAGGAAGCGGCGACATCTACGGTGACGTTCTTGCTTACGCACCGGGCGGTAGGGTGTTCAGTGCTATAAAGCGTACTTCTCATTCCATTACTGGACTACTGAATGATTTTATCCCTCACCTTGGCGACAATATCCAAAGTTTGCTAGGGATCAAGGCGCTTGTCGGTATCTTGACTGCTACAGCTGATCGTCGTATACCAGGGACGGAAGCAGATATCTATCCTTACAAAGAGTCTGAGACTGTGGTCGTGCAGGGGAGGGAAGTGACGTTTTCAGTCGAAGAGTTGGCAAGATTGAATGAGAAGAACGAGAGAGGCGTGTTACGGTATCCGAGTCAGACGCTAGAGGCTCATCAGCTTTGGAAACGTGTATTTGGGAAGAAAGAGACGCAGTGATAGGAACTAGGAACGACACTCGTGACAAGTTAGCTTCTTCTTTGTGGAGCCCATTGATAGTAAGAGTGTTCAGTTGTTCTTGCAAATCTAAACCTGATCGATCCTACTTGCTCTTGTTCATCTCAAAAGCACCTTCATTCGCGAACGCCTTCTTGTCTACGACTTGATCCCTGGTAAACCATCTATTAGATTTCTTCTATACTCTAAAAGTACACATTCATCAGAACTAAAAGCGCTCCATCATTTCGAGCGTACGCTACATCCCCAATACGAAAATGCTTAGACAAGACTTACTTCTTGCCACGGCCTCCGAAGCCCCATCGGATCTGGTTAGCCCAGCGAACCTCAACACCGAGATCATCGGCGCATTGCCAGACAAAACCGGGGTTCTTCTGGAACATGCGGCCAATGAAGGCGATATCAAGATTGTCGTTCTCGAGGTATTCGTTGGCCTGCTTGCCGTCGGTGATGCTACCAACAGTACCAACGGCCATCTTGTCTCCAACCTTGTCCTTGACGGCCTTGGCGAAAGGCTCTTGGTATCCCGGGCCGGCATGGATGTGCTGCTTCTCGTGGAGACCTCCTGAAGAAACGTCGAGAAGGTCTACGCCCCTGTCGGCGAGGATCTCGGCAAGCTTGACGGTCTGGTCGACGGTCCAGCCTTTGATACCTGCTTCATCAAGCCAGTCTGTTGCGCTGATGCGGAGGACGAGAGGCATGCTGTCAGGGATGGTCTTACGCGCGAGGTCAACGACTTCGAGAGTGAGACGGGTACGGTTCTCGAAGGATCCACCGTATTCGTCAGTACGCTTGTTGGATGCTGGTGACAGGAAGGAGTGGAGTAGGTAACCGTGGGCGTTGTGGATCTCGATGGTGTCAAAACCGATCTTGAGGGCGCGCTTGGTAGCATCGACAAATGCTTGCTTGAAGGCCTCGATGTCCTGCTTGGTCATCTCCTTGGGTGTGCAGTGGTGGTCGTTGAATGCAATAGCTGAGGGAGCATAGACGTTGTCCGGCCAGCCGTTCATCTCCTTTGTGGCAATGTCACCCTTGCTCAACCAGGGAGCGACGGTGCTGGCCTTTCGTCCAGCGTGTGCGAGCTGGATACCAATCTTCTGGCCTTGGGAGTGTGCGAACTCAACGACCCTGCGAAGAGGCTCCATTTGCGAGTCTTTCCAGAGACCGCAGTCCTCTGGAGTGATTCTTCCCTCGGCTTGTACCGCAGTAGCCTCAACGAATGTAAGGCCGGGACCGCGCTGGATGATGCCGCCCAAATGTGTGAGGTGCCAGTTGGTTTGGTGGCCATCTTCAGCAGAGTATTGGCAGAGAGGCGAGAGGGCAAGGCGGTTCTGAATGGTGAGGCCACGAAGCTTGAGGGGTTGGAAGAGCTTGGGAATCTTGGAGCTGCCATCGAGCATGCCAAGGGCGGTTCCGGCGACGGGCTCCTGTGCGGGAGTGAAGTATGAGATCTAGATGGATTAGCTAATAGAAAACAAGAAGTGGGAACGAATACATACACCAGCGGCAGCCTTGTTTCTCAGCTCGTCCTGCTTTGGGACTTGTTCGCTGTTCTTATCCTCGGGAATGTCCTTTGCAATTGCATGATGCGAATGCGGGTTCTGGCTATCGGCCTCAGCACCCATTATGGCGGTCGTAGGTGTATGGATTTGGGTTTGTGAGGGATTGGGAGGGTGGTGTAGAAGGGTGGGGGGTCAATGGATATGTGCAGCGAAGAGTGGGTGGTCAATGGCATCTTTATACTTTTTCTCCCACTCTTCGAGACAGTACCGACATGACGTGCATGTGTGAACATTGCTACCACTGAACCCCTGCAGCGGGGCATCTTTGGCGCCCCACCTTCCTCGTTTGGGATGGTTCGACACCTAACAACCCATGGATTCGTTGAAGCCGGATTTGTAAGAAGCACGCCTTCGCATTCACCGACATGTTGCATAGTCGAGTATGCTGGAAACCATGTTTGGAGGCACACATACCGGGGCGGTGGTTTACTAAACTACCTAAGCACGGTAGAGCCAGTAAGAGCTCTGCTGGGAAGCTTATACATGTGCTGACCGAGGTAGCCGAGTAACATAAGCAATGCTTCCCCATGATCTGCAGGCATCCGTCATACAGTACATGGCCTGATAAAGGTTTCGCTCCTACTTCGGACGTCTAATTCTCTGTTCTCTTCCAACACTTACTGAGCCTTGTGCAGCATGTCTCAGCAGCTTGACACGCATTGCAATATCACAGCATATTACTAAGCGTCGGTTACTTGCCCATGCGACGCGTCAAACTCGGTCCAAGCAACGCCGCCGAACTTCACCGCTCCAAGCCATTAGTGCCGCAATCGATTCTGTCTCATGGACTTCCAAACACAGTATACCAAGTCTTTTACGCCGGTGTTGGCCCTGCCCTATATGCGATAAGCCTAGAGCGCGAAGCTTCGTCGATTGTGTCAAGGTGGACAACCGTTCTTCCATGTGTATACGCTAAGTGGCACATAGCCGATATGACTTTGAGCACCTGCGCACACTAACAACGCGCGCGTCGTGCGTCATCAGAAACAGCCATCGCGTCTCGGAGGCCAATTGAGCGCACGATATCATGGACATTCTCTCCTAGGTTCTAGGAATGGCTGAACGATCTGACACGCTTGTGGCCTTTCTTCATCTTTCAAAATACATTAAACAAACTCTCCGGGGGCTTGCCGGTGGTTTTCGAGCTCGTAGGTAACTGGCAAACGTGGTCAAGGAACTGGTTCCGGGAATTCAACTGTCATGAATCTCAGGCTTTGTAGATGATGCTGAATGTCACATAATTTGTCACAGGCCTGCCAGTAATCGATGGATTCGTCAAAGGATCCTGGATGAAGATGAAAAGCGACTCAAGAGCTGGAAAATTCCGGATAGCGCTCTAACATCCTGCTCATCCTTCGAATTGCCAAAAGTTTCGAAGCTTCAAGGAGACACAAATACCTCTTCCTCGAATTCTCAGGATCGATTCTGGTCAAGCTTACAGAATCAAAGATACATGTAGGCTACTCTGTCGTAGGAGGGTGGAATCTCTGAGTGATGGTGACCAACTGCAAAAGTCACTTCTGCAGGACGTATGGTATTTCTCAGGATCGCTCAAGCGTGGCATAGCATGTCCAAGTGCAAGCAGCCTATCACAAGAAGTGAGAATCTTGGAGATCGCTGACTGTACGATACCTCTGCCCCGCCGTCTTACTCTTGGCATGTTTACGCCCCATGGTGTCATACTCGATCATCATAGAGTTTCCTCAACGTCTCTATAACAGTCTGGTACTCTCAGGGCTTCTAGACAACCCTTGACGCTACATCAGATCCTGTAATTCACCGCAACATACCTAAAGGCACTGCAATCAACCACTAATCAAAGTACAACTTCAACGACTGGTACGAAAGAAAGCCAGACGATAGTCTGGTCTACACGCACCTATTCTTCAACGTTTCATCTGAGCATTATTCCCCTTGCGTTATTCTGCCAGCCGATATCACAAGCCAACACCGAGGATGCGATATACCACCGTGGGACCAGGGGAGGCACTGGAACGAAAAATCGAGGAACACAAACCTCGAGAGATATGCAACACTACACGAAACAAGAGTAACCTTTTTAGTCTGCCAACAGAGATTCGGATGATGATCTGGGAGTATCTCGTAGCTGAAAAGCTCATCATGTTATATCGGAAGGGCGGCCAGATTACATCCAGTTCTCTAGACAGACACGGTACACTGAGCGTCAACAAGGCGACTTCACATATTGTGTACGATGTAGCAAACAGATCCAAAACCAAGCTACCACCGACGAGGTCCAAGTCGAAAGCTGATCTCATGGCCTTGCTCCAGACATGCCAAACGATGTAAGTTTCCAAAGCGACGATCACGTTGCAAAAGCGCGCAAGCTGATGTAATAGATCTCTGGAGGCCACCAAGATCTTCTATCAGGAGAACACATTCGTCTGCCTTGACAGCACCGTACTAGTCGATCTGTGTAACGGGCAGTCCTCGTCCAACATATCTCTCATTCGCTCTTTACAGTACTCCATCAGTACCCGCAAATTCTTCTCGTCTGCAAGCACCCAATCAGAACGCGAAATGATCCCGTATCCTTGCGATGCTGAGACATCGGAGAGTGTTAGCAAAGTCTTTCGCCGGCGTTTTCTCAGCCTTCGAAACCTATCGATATTTCTTTATGGATCCCCCAGCCATGATGAAGAATATGCAAATATGCTAGGACATCTGCAAAATGTCTATGTGCAAAGGATATCGATCACGATGAACGTACTAGAGTTACCAGAAGCCTACTTTGTCAGGAACGCTACCCTTCCCTCTTTGCCCTACACTGATGGATGCGTTAGGGTAGTGGTGAGCTCGAAGCGTCCTGGGTGTTTTATCTCGTACCAGAAGGCGATTGAATGGGAAAATCCAAAAGTCGAAGATGACACCTGGATAACCGGGTCACTGTGGCTCGGACCTCTTCATGAAGCAGACGCGACGTTGAAGTTATTGACTTATGCAGCGCTTATACCCGAGGAGGAGAAAGAGCATGCAATGCAGGAACATGAACCGGCCTTACTGTGGGATATTATTCCCGCTGAGTGGTATAGCAGCTGCAGCTTCGCATGAATTTATCCAACGTATCTTCTCGAATTCTTTGCATACCAAAGGAGCATTTGGTTGCCGAGTAGAGCTGGATCCATGCAGCACGCGGCATTCTCCATTATATGGCGATCTCCTGCCCCAGCAAGACGACGTCAATGCAGACATGACGAAAGCTCCTTCCTGTCAAGTAACCCAATGATGCGCATCATGCGCGTTTCGTTTTGAGATGGCTGAGGCTTCGAGGCTGAGGCAGCCGACGTTCCCGATATTCCCACGTAACCGGTCCTTCTTGTGCGTGACGTTATGTGGGAACCATTCGGTCAGGCCGATTTCCTTTTTGGAAGCCATGCAAACCTCGGACAAGGAGTGTGG